AGCCAGAAATGGCCATTCCGGTCTCTCTTTGCTTTGTCGGATCCACTTCTTCGCAATAATATATATCAGGGAATTGCATGACAACAACTGCCGAAACTATCTTTTGGGCAACCAAAATGAAAACTGTCACGAAACACAAGTGATCTTGTAGCCATCAGAAGGAATACGGTAGTTTTACCGAAAATGTATACTGATACGCATAAAGATATGTGCTTGTTATTGCTTTCTTTTTTAGTAAGTAACCAGACTCTCAAGGTGAAACCCAATGAAATCATTCTCTCCTCTCCTTGAAAATAGAATGAACCTTCTCTGTCTTAGAAGCCGCATCTCAAGGATCTTAAAAACAGAAAATCACCCCAACTCCCGTGAACCACGTTTGAACACAAAATAAAACATTAAGCGGTTAGCTGGTTGGAGGAAAGTTGCACCGAGGATCTTCAAAAACGGGTGTTTTTGAACGTTTTTATTTAACCATTTTTTGCATGGACAGCTTGATATACTTTCATAAAGTAAGGTTGTTCCTATAGCACGAATATTCAAGTTTTCGGCGTTTTCGTCTTGCTTAGGAGGATTATTAGTTCTGACTGCTATAATAACCATTTCAATAGAATTTTCAGGTTTTCATTCTACTAAAGATAATTCATTATTTATCCGGAGTTCTGGTCGATAAATGTGGACTGATTTCCAAAGGGTTATATTTTTATCGCAAATTTATTAATATTTAATGAGATAAGTCACCTACTTTATAATCTAACTGAAATATTTTTTGAGAAATAACCCGCAGGAGTATTCGAAACAGTTGCTTGACAAACACAGTAGTTGGATGGATTTCCTAGCTCCTGACTGTCCCACAAGAAGGTGCCAGTATATCCATTCAACTGGGGATTATATTGAACACCAGGTTGGTCCAATCTTAATTGTCTCACGTGCGTAGGCCGGCTAAAAAGTATGGATCGGGACTAATGCACCTGCGTAATGTTTACGGCCTGCGCGGCAGAGGGAGGTTGTGTTTACGTGCGCAAGTGGTAACAAACTATCATCACCTGGATTTCCGCCAGAATTTGATGCCAAGCTCAATATCTACCAAACTGACTCTTGAACCTTGATTATCACGGTCAAAAAGGCAATCCTCTCAACTGTCAACAAATTTGAACTGATTGCTGAAGATATCACCGGATAAGAGGACTACGATGGATATTACAATCGGACATTTGAGGGTCCTGTGCCAAATACCGCAATGAAATCAAGTCTACAAAGCGTATCATTCACTCGACTTAACAAAATTCTTAAGGCAAAACAGCACTCACCTTCTTCCACCATAGCAGGATCCCAATTGTCGTCCAGGATGCTTCCGGGTTCATGTTCCAGTAAAAGACCACTAATGCCAGATTGGTTGTGTAGTTGCCTTAAAAAAGCCTCGTGTTCACTCTCCTCGTTGGTCTTCTCACTTATCCCACTGCCAATATCCTTCGATTCTCTTTGTTGCAGTAATTCCATCATCCTTCCTTCTGCTCCGTAGGGCAAAAAGCTTGCAGAGAGAAACAGAAGGAAAAAGGCCATTTGGGGACATGACATGTTCAGTCTCAGCTCAGACAGCAAAATAGTCTTAGTTTAGCTTTATGGGGACCCAGAAGCTGTGTCACTCTTGTTCAGTCATGCAGGGGGATTTGAAGTAGGCCTCTTTTGTCGCGCAGCGGATAGTTGTTCTCCTAACAAGAGCGATTTCAACGTTGGCGGCATCGGTGGCTACGCTGGGCCTTCATACTACCCC